TGAAAGAGATACTATGAGTCAAAAATGCTCAAGTAACAGTGATAATTACATGGCAACATGGAACATTTAAGATGGTGTTTTCACAATCATAAACCGAAGCCATACGATTCAAAAAATTCATTAGTCCAAGAAGAATCATGACGATGCCAAACTCTAAGCAAAGATCGCATAAAAAAGGATGGAAAGAACCATCACATAGCTAAGAAAAGTTGTAGAGCAATATTCAGTTCAGATGAGATCTATTTTTCCAAACAAGGATGATGAGCCACTCAACTTCACGAAAACCGCCCACATTAAAACTCTGCGGAAGAGCAAAGGTTTCTTCTTCGAAAATCAAAAAAAATTTACTTACATAATTAGTTTACAACCGCAGAAGGTTGAAAAGTCCAGACGAGATCTATTTCTCGAAACAAGGATGATGATTCACTCAACTTCACGAAACCGCACACCATTATTCTAAGAAACTCTAGGAAGAGCAAAGGTCGTTTCTTCGAAAATCAAAAAATTTACTTACAAAATATTCAAAGAAAAGCTTGCTATGGAAAGCAAGCGTATTTATTTCAAGGATAGAATTAAGAACTCGCAAAGAATGTTTAGCGAGCTGGATGAAAAGTTGTCTTGTAGCTTGATTGAAAATTCGTATATAAGCGCTTGCAATTGCATATCTTGAGAAAAGATGAACTGAGAACAAATGAATAACAAAGAAAAGTGAGGTAAACCTTGTGAATTGAGAACGTTTCCAGAGAAACCAACAGTATGCTATAAAATCAATTTCTGAAGTAATTTAGACAACATCAACATCAAAAGAGAATAAACAACAGTTTGTAACACAAATGTAAGCAGATGTATGAAGACCGCAGCGAAATACGGCATTATCGATCGCGAAATTGATAACAAAGCGCAAAACGAGAATGAGACGCTATAAATGACGAAGTATTGCAGAAGTAAGCAAGACTCACACTTAGTCAAGAGATGACTACCAAACTACGGTACATTCAAAAGCAAACCCTTACAAAATAAAAAATCCCCTTGTGAATAAAATCTCGCTGCCGCGACGACCCGGCAACATATCGGCCGCACCCACGACCAGTGCGCAGACATCGCCGGCTGGTCAGAGGACGAGGCTAGGGATGCAGGTGCAAGGGCTCCATGTCAGGAGTCACGCCGCGCGCCGCGCCGCTTCGCCGCGCACGTCGCGTCTAAGTTTTATACCCCATGAAACTGCCCGGTGCTATAGTGGCACGGCGCCAGTCTAGGGGGGTGGGGGGTGGGGGCAGATACATGGCTCGTGCCATAAGTAAGACTGCGCCAGGAGTGCTGGCTTCTGTTTTGCTGACATCGCTTGCGGCATCGCTTCGCGAAAAATCCGCGCCGACCGTGACTCCTGACCGTTCCCCGGTGCAAGAGGGACCGTTTGCCCCCGTTGGAGGAACAGAAGGGGGGGGGGCGAGGAGGATGCGCGCATATGCAAACAATGCACACATATTATACGCATCGCACAATGGCTAATCACTGCCAATAGCAATGAAGTCAGGGACTTACCAGTAGGCAGTTGACTGTGATATGCAGTTTCGCGAAATAGAGAGTAGCAATCGATATATCGATTTGTTATGTGTGAATACACAAAATAATGTTGTGGCATCACATGCGCGTACTTTTGCATGGAACGGTATAAAATATCTTACTTGCTCGAAGAAATATTTTGTTCACATAGGGCTAACGCATTTCTTCTCGCCATGACTGGAAAAAGAAAAAGAAATTATAGGTTTCGAGATTTTCCTTGTCGTCTTTTTGATATTGAGTTATAGTCAGTGTCAATCACCTCCTCCCTTTTCCGTAAGCGTGATCGCCATGCCAGTGCTTCGCGCGCGGATGGCTTTGGCTTTCGAATTGGCCCTATCGATCGGAGGTCCGCAGACAAGGCCTGCGCGTTGCGCATGCGTACTTCCTACGCGAAAGGGATACGTAATTGACACATACTGTACAGTATCCAAAAAGGAGCTTCACGAACAAGTTTCAAATCAAACGAATTGAATTTCCATAGATAGAGGAATTTGAAATTAACTTCTTTAATTTCCTTTCTTTTGAGAATACAGCAGTTTGCTTTAGAGAATTGTTTTTTCGTTCTTTGACCAGCAGTACTTTGTAGAATGTGGAAAAATAGCAGTGGAGCGTTCTAATTCTCAGGAAGTGCAATGGAATTAAATTGTTTTCGAAGTATCCCGACAATCTTGCAATTCTGGAAGTGCCTCGCGAAACGTAAGCTTCTCTCATCTAATGCCTGTCTGATCGTTTCACTAAAATGCAACTTAAGAACTGAAAGAGATTGGGGAGTTAGGCCTCAAATGCGTCCAGAATCTTTTCTCTATTGCTTTTTTGCGAGGTCTGACGTCCATACCAATTTTGTGAGACATACGAAAAACTTTTGTGTCCTATTACAACTCGATAGTTGATCGATGTACTACGCAAAGGTTCACCAAATCGACTTGATTCTTTGAATGGGCGTTATGGAATAGTCCAATGCATCTGACTTCTCCGCAATTTGGATTAGTTTTGAAGAATCAGCCGAACCTGCCGCGTGAAGATTCTAAGCAACGGATGTTATGCAAACGCAAAAAATCAATAAGCCGATAGGATCAATCAGTATGTTTTGAAAAAAATGGCCCATTAACGTACGCTCCGCCCATACATTATGGCAGAATTAGATTTGGATTCTATGACTACTACTACCTTTTTGGGCGAAGATAAAAAATCTTTCAAGCAAAAACTACAAAAAGTCAATAAATTGATAGAAGCAATCGATATGTCGCGCTTCATTATGTCCGACAAGTTTGGTTCAAATTCCATGATTCCTTCTATTCTTTTTGGGCGAACATGAAAAAATGTCTAAGCAAAAAATGCAAAAAATCAATAAATCGGCAGGAGAAATCGGTATGTCCCCAAACATGTCAAAATACCTCCCTGCCTATAAATTGTGTATGCGAATTTTGGTTTACATTCCATAACATCTTCTATCCTCTTTGAGCTAAGATACAAAAGTGGCTAGGCCGAATATTACAGGGTGCTCCACATGAAATGTGACGCACAAAAGCTTTCGTAACTTTGCTAAAACTCAATGAAATTAATAGCTTCTGTTTTCGTCTGATAGACAAGAAAATTCTGTATAAGTTCTCATAGAATGCTTCCAAGGAGTCCATCTTCGACTGTAATGACAGAATTTATTCTGCTCGGAGAAATTTTCAAAATGCGCGCAATGGGTTTTGGCAGAAATTTCATCCCAGGCTCTCACTAGGTCTCCTTTAGCAAGTCTAATAGCCTGGGTTTGGAGAGCGGACCTTTTGCTTACAGGTAGAGTAGGCGGAAAATTTGTGGGTTTAAGAATGTTCGATTCGGAAGGCCAAAATTGTCTTTCCGTATATGGCAAATATGAAGTTTGATGGACTGCGAAAAAACTATTTTTTGGTCTATTTCATCCCAGGTTCCAAAGATATTCGTCTTTTCCATATTGTTTTGCCCCGTTGTGCTTGTTCCCGACTTCGGTTCTTACTAAAACATGGTCAAGCTTGAAGGTTTATTAAAGGCAATCGCAATGGCAAAAAAAATTCTCTCGATATTCGTGAAGGGCTGTGGCACTTTCTTGGATCAAAGGACATTCTAAGACGCTTTTGGGAATTTTTAGCATGGATACCAATTCAGCGAAAAGAAGAAATTGCTCAGACACTCGGTGCGTGCAGCGCGCGCGCAATTGCACGGTGGCGCGACACCCAGTCTGCGGATGGCGCGCTATTGACTCCCGCGCCGCTGCATGATCGTCCGCGGATGGCTGCGATTTTAAGCGCGCGAGCGGCTGCGATTTCTTGCGCGCGGATGGCTGCTATTTTGGCACGCGAATGGTCAGCATTTTCGCAGCCTCGTTTTAATCATTGACTCGCGCGCCAAATTTGAACGGCTAAACTTCCAGCGGACTAAACCTTTTAAAACTTTATTTCTGCAGAAAAATGAGTGGACAATTTCAACAAACCTTTATTAATTATGTAATTAAAGCTTTTAAAGACACTAAATGAGAATGTGGATCAAATAGTGTACAATCAAATACATATGTAACGGGATGGCATCATGTACATGCAATAAACATATGTAAGTCAAAAATATCGCTATCACGGAACTTCACTCATCAGCAATGAATAGATCGTCGTCGTCTCCTGTTACTGCCCCATCGTCGATCATGTCGTCCGCGACTTTCTTCGACTGGCGCTGCAATGAATCTATGAAATACTAATCAAACAGCAAACAATTTTACCTTATGCGGTGTCCATTTCGACTCGCTTTCCTTGTACGAATAGGACCTAATCTCGTCTGAAATTGATATATTAGCAACTAAGGCTGCGTTATGTCGTTGTTCAAGATGTTCGGATGATCTATAGCGGTTGCATTATAAAGCACGGAAAATATTTTATCACTAAAACTATGCCTCCTGGTTCTCCTGGTACTGAATGCAAGATGACTCGCTCCTCCGCAGGCATTTGTAGTCGTCTAATATTATGCAGGAAGTCCAGATATGCTTCGTTCAAGTTCTCCTCAAAGCTTTTTGAAATCATATGGCATTACTTATGAAAATTGCTTCACTTACCTCCGAAAGCCCTTATTCCAACATGATGCGGGGCCGGGAACTGCGTGCTGAATGGCATACCTCCACCTCTTCGCCTAGGTGAAGCATTGACTAGTAAGGGATTGTTTATGAGTTCTTAATTGACCTGGCCTATTTCGGATGTTTGGTGCTAATACGCCTCGAGCCGAACGATAATTTCAACAGGCCTCAACCTACATTGCTAGAGGCATATACGCATTTGGTGTGATAAATGACAGCATTGCAAATTTGCATGCTGATGTGAAGGCATTTGTATGATAAGAACGACTTTGTCCGTTTCGTTCCTACCCTTAGACGGACAAATGCAAAAAAGAATAAGCCTTTCCCGAAACTCGTCAGTAAGGAAGAAAGGCTAATATTAACGACAATCAACTAAAGTAAGTTCACAAAAATACATCAAATCAAGAAAGAAAATCAAAATGAAAGTCTTAGATACAAATAAAGACAAATACTCGTAAAAAATAACAGTAAAACTTCAAAAAACAGGGGCAGGGGACGAGGTTATTTTCAAAAAAGCAACTCGGCGTCCTTTTGGGCACGCGCACCGCTGCGCTAAAAGCTAAATCGCGCTCGCGCTGCTGCATAACAACGGAAAAGCACGCGCGCCGCGTGTTCTCATATAAAAAGGCACGCGTGTCGCAGATAGCTCTGCATTCGCGTCAAGTATGGCGCGCGTGCGTCTAGTATGGTGCGCGTTTGGCGCCGTGCCGGACACGCCCCCAAAATATGGCACGCGCTTTGCCGGCTTGAGCATAAAGGCGCGCGCGCTGCACGCACCGAGTGTCTGAGTGGAGTTGTGTAAAATGCATCGGTTGGGCACTGGAAAAAAAATGATATTTGGCCCTCTTGCTCGCCCATTGAATCAACAAACACTCTTTTCTATCAGCCTGAAAGGGAAAAGTCTGCTTTTCAAATCCCATGTCATTTGATTTGCCAAAAAGAAACGCGGTGAGAGCTTGGGAGCAGAAACCATCGCGCGCAAATCGAAGAATTTTTGGAAGAGGTTTGAAGGAGAAAAAACGATTTAAAAAAAGCAGAGACAGATATCTCGAACGTTAGTTCAAGATTCTTGAACAGAATTCTCTTCTCTATCAAGCGAGAATAAAAGCTTCTGATTTTAGTCCTTGCAAAGATATAATATTTTTTTGTTGTGTCACACTTCATGTGGACCACCCTGTATATAGGTATGATGAGATTAGCTTTGAACTAATTGTAGAAAAATTTTAATTTAGTTGTTTTGATGAGCATTGTTAATCAGACTTCAGAAAGATTTGTTTGCTATTTATTCGTACTAATGACACTTTCAAATATGCGGATGTCAATTTGATATTCTGCTTTTCGGAGTTGAGAATCTTTCGCACTATATTGCTCCTCTCTTTCTGTTAGTCTAACAAATCCCTGCTAGTGAAAGTCCTTGATGATCAACTTTCAATTCACTTATCTTTTACAAGTCACATTTCTGTTCACAGTCTTGGAAAAGTGGTGCCTATGTAATTTTTTTCGATAGATGTTGTTTGGTAAGCCTATAAGGTCATTAAGATGTTCAGAAAGAAGTTTTTATCTGAATCTGAGTTGCCAGCTGTTAAACTATGAAATCCGCATGTAATCAAAGGCAGCGTCCAAGCAAATCTAAACATATATGGGACCTCACGTGAATTTTGAGGACTTACTTAGGCCACTGCCCAACCGGCAGCTCAGGTATGCTGTAACGGTTAGGATATTCCCCTCGAAACAGGGTCCCAGGATCGTATTTCGCAGGGGTTCATGGCGCAACCATCATCGCGCGAGGACCCATGCTTTACGCCATGAATCCATGCGAGATACGATCCCGGGTCCAATTTGGAGGCGTATATCTCAGCCGTTAGTGAGTCAACTGCGCTGCCGCTTGGGCAGTGCCTTAGTTAGGGCCCCACAATTACTTTCCACGTAAGATCCTCATATCTCCAGATTTGCCTGGGCGCTACCTCTAAAGACAGTGGCTCGGGAAAATTGCGACTGCGGGCTTTCCATGACTAAGACCCGTATGCACGTACATCCCCGCTGGGGAGGGGAGGGGATCTGAGAGGGGATGCGTCATATCTCGCTACTTTGCGTATCTTTCTTCTTCTTTTTCTATCTTGCTTATGAAGGTTTTCATACCCTACTTCCTGCTCATAATTGATGCCAGGTTACTGGCGTAACTGATTAGATTTGTACTATTTTGTGTGATCCCCTGGGGATCCCCTGGGGATCACACAAAATAGTACAAATCTAATCAGTTTGAGAGGTGATCCCCTGGGGATCCCCTGGGGATCCCCTGGGGATCCCCAGACACAAAATAATACAAATCTAATCAGTTATGCCAGTAACCTGGCATCAATTATGCGCAGGTAGTAGCGTGTGAGAACCTTCATGAGCAAGATAGAAAAGGAAGAAGAAAGTTACGTAAAGTAGCGAGATATGGCGCATCCCCTCTCAGATCCCCTCCCCTCCCCAGCGGGGATGTACGTGCATACGGGCCTAAATGGCCTTTTGGGCCAGCTAAGTCCGGTACTGCGCTTGAAAAGTCAAAAAAGTGCTTTTTGGCGTTTCCGGGCCGTGGAGATCGCTGGAGAGGCGGGGCGAGGGATTCACCGCAAATGAGCAACCGGCAGGAACTGTAACTCCACCTATTTTGGCGGCAAACTGTATCGCGGTGGCTGCCTAGGCTGATCAGCCAATTGCCGCCAAAACAGGTGGAGTTACAGTCTCCACCAGCCAGCTGCTCCTTTTGGGGTGAATCCCTCGCCCCGCCCCCCTCCAGCAATCTCCAAGGCCCGGAAACGCTGAAAAAGGGCTTTTTTGACCTTTCAAGCGCAGTACCGGACTCAGCTTGTCCAGAAGGCCACTTAGTCGTGAAAAGCCCGCAGTCACAATTTTCCCCAGCCACAGCCTTTAAAGACAGCATCCGGGCAGATAAGAAAATGTAGAGTACACGGGCGCTCGTCCTGATAAGGCTCTTGCCCAACTGGCAATGCATCAGTTTGCTTCTGAAGCGAGAAATCCGCTTCAGAAGCGGCGACCAGAACGCCCCGGACACCGCGACGAGTTAGCCTGATAAGCCATAGTGTGCATACCGCACAGAGTCAAGACGTATACTCCCACAAAGACTCTGCGTTTTAACCTTGGCGGTACGCGACAAAATCCAAATCAAGAGCTTCTGGAAAAGCCCGCTTTCGGCGTTTTCGTGCTCTCTAAGTTGCATTCAAAATCAGCGAGAGGAAGAGCCCAGGTAAGCGAAGGAAAATTCATTTAAAATTTTGTCCGGACGCTGCCTCCAAGCAAATGTTCGTTACGTACATACAAAATTAACGAATTTTTTTGTGTCTACTCTTTTACAAAAGATTAGATCACTTTCAATCGTTTCGGAAATCCTTTTTATGCCAGTTTCTAATCCCATAACTGCTTGAACCCTGCTGCCCGGCTAATTACTCGCAGTTCACATCTTGACTCCTCAATCGGACTGGCCAAAGCTTCATCAAACGAGTTCTGCTCAATTACAGCTGCATGTTCTTTCATTCGGTCGATGATGACGATGAAACATTGCTGCTACATTTAAAGGCTGCTGCGTGACGAAGGCGCAATGTCTTTGGACGCAAACGCCGCTTTATTAGCCGCAGAGCACATGAGACGCAGCGCTAACAACGGTGAAGATACGCGCGCGCCGCGTACGCACCCGTTCAACTAATATCGCTTCTGCGCCCTCGTCATGCAGTAGCCTTTACGTGTGATGTTTTTACCTTATATTCCTGGATGACATATGGGCCCAGAGGAACGAAATACCTCTTTCCACTGTGGAGGTGAATGTAGAGGTTGAATTTTTCTCGCGATGGCAGAAATTTTGGTGACCTTGGCAACTGAAAGATCTGCGCTATTATACAGGGTGTCCCAAAAAAATGTATCGAACGTTTGATCGTAAATATCTCCCTTTTAAAAAAGTCTTTTCTCTTGCTTTAGGTACCATTCTGTAGAGCTGGCTTCAACTTAGATTTGCATTATAGAACGAATCACTCATTTCTCTTCATTACTGTAGGATTACGGTAGAAACTTCAGAGAGGGTTTCAAGCAATGAAAGGCCATATTTTGCCCCAGAAAGGAAACAAAACAGCCTGAAAACTGTCACACTAGGCTAATTAGAGTTGCTGATTATAACTGTAAAGTTCCCAACTTGTTATGATGCTTCATTGAAGAGTTATGCCAGGTGAGAGGTAGCGGCCATTTTTTCAATGTTCTTAAAAAGTGCGGTTACACCGTTTAGAAAGCTTCGTAATCTTGTGAATATTTGAGTATTGAACTCAGCGTCCATAAAAACCCTATTACACAAGTTTTCACAATTTTTCGAAAAAATTTGAAACGGCAGCTATTTCCACCGTGACACCATATGTTTCAAGTTTCCACCGTAATCCTACAGTAATGAAGAGAGATGGGTGATTCGTTCTACAATGCAAATCTAAGTTGAAGCCAGCTCTACAAAACGGTACCTGAAGCAAGGCAAAAGACTTCATGGGAAGAGAGATATTAACGATCAAACGTTCGATACATTTTTTGGGACACCCTGTATGTGTGGCAAGTTCAAAGCGCCGCTTGGCGGCGCTTCAAACTGGCTGTGTGCGTGAAGTGGGACGTGACTAAAAGTTAAGATCTTTGAAGTTTTAGCGAAGTGAAGAGTAAAATTCTTGGCCACGTAACGACCCAGAGGTTATCAAAGTCAATTTGTCACGAATCCTTGTTTGCATGGAAGTTTCTAAAAATTTCCTCAACAAAAAGCAACAAATTTCTACTACCTTCTCACAGCCTCATCTATCCGCACCGTTGTCCGCTCGTATGTCTAAAATTTACTCAACTTGCGTTCTGCAAATTTGAGTATTGCTGTCTTTCCCGGGTTTTTTGAGCCAAATTCGTCTCCTCCTCCTCCCCCCCCTACCCTCCAATTCCTTACGTTTCGATAAAAACTACCTGAACTGCTCATCTTTTTTTGCATCCACACTTTTCGAATCTAACTCACTGTGATCAAAATGCTAT